ACGTACCACAGGTGTCTTCGGTGGAGAACGAACGCGCTATTGTTGTTTCCTCGGAGTAACGCGTTCACCACCACACCAAGCGGATCCTTCGTCTTTTGACAGATTGATAGTAGCAGTTGGTGGTAGACATCACTTTTTGATGTCACAAAGGATAGGAGCAAAGTTGATCACACAAGGTGAGATGTTTGCGATTGAATCAACGTGATAGCCAACCGATATAACAAGATCACCGCCTTGATATGGTTTTCACGAATGTTAGAGATGTTTTCGTTAAATTGGTGTGTACCAGTTCTGTTCCTGTCGACCTTCACCAGAAGAATCACTTTAAACTTTAGGTGACCTTCTTCGACGGTCGGTTTCAACAAGAATGTGAATGTCGGTATGAGAGGGGACATTATTAGTATCGTATGTAGAGAGCAGAAACCGCAATATGACACATCGCAAAAGTGTTACTTAGTTGAGAACCAAAAGCATAATATTTTATTGTCGCTCATCAGCTGTCAAACTGCTTAACGACGTTTATCTGCGCTCCCGCTAATAGCTGCGAAAAAGCCCGTACGTTGGATAGGTGGTCTTCTAGCTGTGTGCTAAGCACATCGTAGAACAAAAGTCCAATTCGCTAGAAGCTTCCTAATTGTTAATACCTTGCACTAGATGTCCAATTCGTCTGATTCTCAACGCTTAGATCGTAGCCATGAGGACTCTTATATTTGATCGCCGGCGTAGTTCGGACTCGGGAGTCCCGTTGANATCACACAAGGTGAGATGTTTGCGATTGAATCAACGTGATAGCCAACCGATATAACAAGATCACCGCCTTGATATGGTTTTCACGAATGTTAGAGATGTTTTCGTTAAATTGGTGTGTACCAGTTCTGTTCCTGTCGACCTTCACCAGAAGAATCACTTTAAACTTTAGGTGACCTTCTTCGACGGTCGGTTTCAACAAGAATGTGAATGTCGGTATGAGAGGGGACATTATTAGTATCGTATGTAGAGAGCAGAAACCGCAATATGACACATCGCAAAAGTGTTACTTAGTTGAGAACCAAAAGCATAATATTTTATTGTCGCTCATCAGCTGTCAAACTGCTTAACGACGTTTATCTGCGCTCCCGCTAATAGCTGCGAAAAAGCCCGTACGTTGGATAGGTGGTCTTCTAGCTGTGTGCTAAGCACATCGTAGAACAAAAGTCCAATTCGCTAGAAGCTTCCTAATTGTTAATACCTTGCACTAGATGTCCAATTCGTCTGATTCTCAACGCTTAGATCGTAGCCATGAGGACTCTTATATTTGATCGCCGGCGTAGTTCGGACTCGGGAGTCCCGTTGATATTTCCTCGCCAACGCACCACACGAGACTCTTGGATCACTATATGCATCAAGACAAATATATCTCTAACTCCTAATGACTGCTAAAACAAGTTGGATAAAAGATTATGTCATCTTAATGATGCTGAAATATTTGCAAGACCCGCAACTCTATGCCATCTTCGAATTCTCGGAAAGGACAACCGCGTGTTTGAAGATGGCCTGGGGTTCTGAGTTTTGCAATTATCTCAACATTGTTCTGGCTTATCACAAAGTACCATCTCATAAAAAAATAATAGCCAGTAAATGAAAAGTTAAAACATTATGCCATTGTGCCGTTTTTTAGGGAAGCACCTGCCAGAGAAGTGTGGTGTAGTCTGAGCGATGATAAAGTTGTCATGGTTTGGTCTTTCCTTCCAGAAAGACCTCCGAGCAGTATCATCCCAGCAAATCTGCTGTACCTCGAAGTTAGATTTGGAGCTTGTGGATATAACCATGTCCAGTATACTTGATTGAAATTTCTTATTGTTGAGAAAGCCAACGAAACCGAACGCAAGTTGCATTGACTCTCACCATGTGGATTTGGATCCAGCTGAGCCAATCCCGTTGACGGGTGATTGCTGATGGCAAAAGATCGATAAAACTAGCTGAGAGACAGGCGAAACGAAGGACCCACATGGTGTGGTGGTGAACGCGTAACTCCCCGGAAAGGACAATACCGCGTTTGTTCCCCACCGCAGACACCTGAGGTCCGGAACCTTGAAAATATCTCAGCATTATACAAGTTATATTTCGCAACATACCCTGCCTTTAAAAAAGAAAAGGTAAATAAAAAGGTTAAGACTAAAAGAAATACTTCAGATGAAAAAGAAGTCCACAGAAGAGGTAGGTTTACGAAGTCGACGCGATCAAAACTAGAACAAAGTTTGTTGAGGTATCAAGATAAGTGGATTTGATAGACAAACTCATGGCCATTTTTGAGTCCAGCTCAATCTGTTCTTCTAAAGCCTTTCGCTGATTCGGCGGTCATACTCACTTATGCCTGAATAGTTGCCCTTAAAAGAGCGCGTGTGGCGCAGTGGTTGGAGGCGCCACTGCAACACACACATGGAGTCAATTCCCGCGTCCATGGCCCACCAAGTCTTCTATCCCTCCAGGATCGGCAAATTGGTACCAGACTTGTCTGGGAGGATAGCAGCACTGGCTCGACAAGTCGGTATGCCACCGCGATTCATTGTAAAAGGCCAGATATGCATTCAATCACCTCCAACAATACTTAATGAAGTCGAATGCATGCCGTATCCCTCAAGGATTGACCAACGCCGAGAGCTTTATCCTTTATCCTTTATAGTTGTCCTTGCTTATATGGAGATCTACATGTTGATTCGTTGCAAAGCTCACAGTTATGTGATAATGTTGAGCACCGTTTTCAGAGTCGCTTCCAAGAAATATGCCCAACCGTTACTCCTCGCCAATTTTCGGACGATGTCGTTCCTGCTGGATAGCTTTGTTCTTGATGGCACACTTGTGCTCAGCGAAAGAAATATCTTCGATCTAGTGGTGCATGCCTCGTTTGGCAAGTCAATATGGGAAACGACTTAGAACCTGAGCTAACCAGAAGAAAGCGAGTGGTTGCGGAGCTTGAATGATCGTAGAAGATATAATAAAGAATATAAAGAACACCTGATTCTGCGCTCACCACTTCGACTTCGTTGTTCTCCGTTCTTAAGTACACGCGTCGAAAACTGGAAGTTGTTCAAACATGATTAAAGAACTCTGACCGGACTGACCGGACGCATATTCGAAAGAAGTATCTCCTATCAAATAATGAGGGAAGGAATACCAGATATCAACCAGTGTGATCAAAGCTCAGGGAAGCTGCCTCAATCGTTGAGATGTCAATGACCAAGTCCACTGAAAACTGCATGCTTATCAACGACGAACGATGGATGAGAGCTGCTAACGGTTGCACCACAAGAACACACAACAACGAAATAATCGAACCGATGAACATAATTTTCTAACAAAACTCATCGACGAAAATGTGAGACTTCTTACCTCCCTTAAGAAGCATAGCGTACTCGGTAGGGGCGAGTGGAGATTTTATTGACACGTTTTGCAGTCACTGGCAAACAAAATGAGGTGATCTTAAGTTTTATCACGAAAATGGGATATTATGAATAATTCTTAGAAAATCAACACAGAGTGTAAAAAAGCGTTGGCTATTGATTAATCCCTTATATCTATCTCACCGATATATCAAGTTAGTGTTTTGTCCTCGAAAATAAGTCTGCTAGAAATTTGCTAACGCTGGATTGATGGTGGACACCATGGCTTGGTGAGCCGGGGAATGGCACCAGTGACCAGGCCTGTGTGCACTGAAGGGTACCTCTATTCACTGCACTACATGAACCCCGCCAACGAACATTGTTCATCAAATCCAATGCCTCAGCTTTCGGTCCCGAAATCTATTGCAGTAGAAGCTCGTTAGATCATAAATATTAGGATGATCCCTTGAATAGCGCGTGTTAATGATTCAATGATTACATTGGAATGTTATGTTATAAGCCAGAAAGATTACAGCATTGCCGAACGTCACACTGAGCAGTGATGGCGCACAGCATATTGATGACTCGGCATTGGGAGTTGGATATAAGGTGGATGTGAGTGCACTCAGAAATTGGCGACAAAGAAAGAACGAACGCCGAATAAAGCGAAACACGAAACACAGAAGCTAGAATGCTGTGAGACGGTATATCAGATGGAGTCCTACCAGAAGAATACACGGCTTCTAGACTGAATCACAGTGATAAACAAGAGCTCCGTTAGAAGATTTACTAGAATTAAGGCAAAAAAGGGAAAAGACGGTGGTATGCTCCTTAGTTTGGAATTGGCGACTTTAGCGACAGCAAAAGGTAAGCCATAGTGTATAGACAATCCTGGAAATTGAAGGCGGCCAACATCTAGATGGATGACTTCAAAAAAACCTGCAAAAAACTTGCACACAGCGAAAATGAGCCATGAGCAGGCACTTGATAAGAAGAAATCCGTAGCATATGATAGATAGCTGGCTCTCTTTTCATAAACGTGTTCATTTCTATAAGGAAGATACACACTCTTCGGTGGTCTAGTCAAACGCTGATTTTCTTGAATGGTTATGGGAAGCGTTAGATATCAGAGGTAGTCTGGAGTCCATGGCGTTCAACATTTTCTTAGCCTTAGTGTCACTTTCATATTACTTGTTAAAACTTTAAAAGTGGAATACAAAACACTGACCCAACAGCGTTTGCCGTTAACCGTGTCCTACAACTGTTTCTGGGATGACTTCACCAGTGAACGGGTCCAAGCAATCAATAAAGTGGGTGGAATTTTACATAAAGATCAAAAACGAGGCTACTGTGATGCAGTTTTTGAACCATGGAAAATGCGGATTATCAGTGGCATCATCTGATACCTACTAGCAGAAGGTCGAAAAGGTTGTTAACAAGGTAGAATTGCTAATTTCAAAACAGCTTGGCTCGGGATAAATACCGCGTGTTACCACACTATTAGAAAAATGTAGCACTGACCTGTTGAATTTCGTTGTCTGACTCAAGAGCGTCGAACACGGCGGCACCGACCAACAAATAGGTGAGTGTGCAGACAATCAGCGACAGCGTACGTATGTTCTGCCGTTTCATTCCACCACATCAGGACCCGATCCCGATGTGAGGGTGGGTGAAGCGAGGGCGGTCGTGCTGTAGTTGTTCCGGAAATGACGCACACGATACAGGATCAAGACACTCGGCGTCGTCAACAGGTAACAACAACAGTGGCGGTGGTAATGTTATAACAGCACAAACATAGTACAGTGGCAGCGCTCTAAAAATAATACAAGTTCATGCTAACTCTGAATACTCCACATATATTCGAATGTGAGTTGAGCACTGTTCGGTGTATTAAACAATTTAACGAGGCATCAATGTAAGAACCGAGGGATATGTGTGCGTGCGCATGCATGTGTATGAACTTTCTCTCCGCCTAGGAAAAGTGTGTAATGGGCGGAGACTAAAGACACCGCCTTAAATCCGATGAGTGCATCAGTTCCAGAGACCCACGAATCAGTGAAAGTTGACGTCTGCCACGAATTAAGCGTGATCTTAAAACGAGCCAACCAAACCAGAGAAACCTCCCATTTAGGGAAGAGATCCTGTGTAGAGGAATGACTGCATGTGCACCCATCTAAGTCATGCTTTTCAGATTTATTAAAGTGCATTGCTTTTTCTTTTATTTTCTTGTTGAATCGTTGTTGTGAATGCAAATAAACCTAAGGATGAACCAAATCCACATGATGAGAGTCAATGCAACTTGCGTTCGGTTTCGTTGGCTTTCTCAACAATAAGAAATTTCAATCAAGTATACTGGACATGGTTATATCCACAAACTCCAAATCTAACTTCGAGGTACAGCAGATTTGCTGGGATGATACTGCTCGGAGGTCTTTCTGGAAGGAAAGACCAAACCATGACAACTTTATCATCGCTCAGACTACACCACACTTCTCTGGCAGGTGCTTCCCTAAAAAACGGCACAATGGCATAATGTTTTAACTTTTCATTTACTGGCTATTATTTTTTCATGAGATGGTACTTTGTGATAGGCCAGAACAATGTTGAGATAATTGCAAAACTCAGAACCCCAGGCCATCTTCAAACACGCGGTTGTCCTTTCCGAGAATTCGAAGATGGCATAGAGTTGCGGGTCTTGCAAATATTTCAGCATCATTAAGATGACATAATCTTTTATCCAACTTGTTTTAGCAGTCATTAGGAGTTAGAGATATATTTGTCTTGATGCATATAGTGATCCAAGAGTCTCGTGTGGTGCGTTGGCGAGGAAATATCAACGGGACTCCCGAGTCCGAACTACGCCGGCGATCAAATATAAGAGTCCTCATGGCTACGATCTAAGCGTTGAGAATCAGACGAATTGGACATCTAGTGCAAGGTATTAACAATTAGGAAGCTTCTAGCGAATTGGACTTTTGTTCTACGATGTGCTTAGCACACAGCTAGAAGACCACCTATCCAACGTACGGGCTTTTTCGCAGCTATTAGCGGGAGCGCAGATAAACGTCGTTAAGCAGTTTGACAGCTGATGAGCGACAATAAAATATTATGCTTTTGGTTCTCAACTAAGTAACACTTTTGCGATGTGTCATATTGCGGTTTCTGCTCTCTACATACGATACTAATAATGTCCCCTCTCATACCGACATTCACATTCTTGTTGAAACCGACCGTCGAAGAAGGTCACCTAAAGTTTAAAGTGATTCTTCTGGTGAAGGTCGACAGGAACAGAACTGGTACACACCAATTTAACGAAAACATCTCTAACATTCGTGAAAACCATATCAAGGCGGTGATCTTGTTATATCGGTTGGCTATCACGTTGATTCAATCGCAAACATCTCACCTTGTGTGATCAACTTCGCCCTCATCCTTTGTGACGTCAAAAAGTGATGTCTACAACGAACTGCTACTATAAATCTGTCAAGTGATGTCTACAACGAACTGCTACTATAAATCTGTCGAAAGATGGAGAGGAACTGGATATTTCGAAAAAAGGTGCCACGTATAATAGTTGATCCACACGTTCTGCAAACATATCGTCAGAGTTCTCGATGCCAGAATGGGAAATGTTGTTGGACACGCAATCACCTGTATCACCCTTCTATTTTTCCCTGTCGCGTGCAAGCGTAGCCCAGTGAGTTCTGCTCGCTCTAGAGACTTGTCGAGCATCATATCTTTCTTTAAGGCTCTTTATGAAGAACTCTGACCATCGGGTCGGTGGTCTTCCCGCAAGACGTTTGACATCCCGAGGAATCCAGTTACTAACGGCTCTTGTCCGTCGCTTGTCATTCATACGCATTACGTGTCCGGCCCACCTTATCTTCGACTGTTTGGCGTACAGAACGGCATCTTTGATTTTTGATCGCTGATGCAGATCGGAGCGTTGGATCCCATCACTTGTGTGGAACGGGATACTCCTAGTATCGTCCTTTCGACTGCGCATTCGATAACGCTGAGTGACTTCTCATCCTGCTTACGCAGCGACCAGGTTTCTGACGCATACGTTAGGGCAAGAAGCACCGCTGAGTCGAAAAGGTGGCACGGAGTCGGGTGTTGTTGGGACGGCTCGCTATATATGTCGGAATACTAAGTAGTTAAGATGATTCGGTCGAAATTTGCTGCTCGCCTTTGTGTACGCCACGCGGGACTTCTTGTAGGTAGCAGTCATAATGCAGGACACCTCAAACTTGGGTAATTAAATCGTTTATCGTAATTATACAACAGTCATAATAATACAACTTTACAATTAATGCAACAATGATACGGGTAATGAACAGGCGCAACCTGATCACTGGTGTTCAGGTTGCTTATGAGTAAAGAGATTGACATAACAGCATGACTGTGTAATTAATGCAACAATGATACGATAATGTGTGATATTTGACGATACGTAAGCTGGGTGGATAAGAGCGGGATTAAAATGGTAACAAGTGATACACTTGAAGAAATTAAGGCGGACACAGGAGTTGGAGCACTAAGGAATTGAGGGACCGGAAGCAGAGCGGTCGAACGCGGCTAACTCTTCCGGACCTGTCCTATGGGCTGCCTGTATTACATCTGTAGTGGGTGGAACTTTGCCAGAAAGAACTAAAGGCGGCGTCCAGAGAGGGGTTCTAAAAGTTTTTCTACTAGCACGATTTGATAGGACTACATGTGGAAGGGTGCAGGTGTCTGTTCGAAGACTTTTTTGGGACGACAGATGCTGAAAAGTACATTCAGCTGGCTGCTGATTCCCTTTCCAGCCACCTGCGAGGCAATTGCATGAAATGGTTGCTAAGAGATGATTTACCGAATATGCAAGAATAGATGTATGTCGATTACAAACAGACAGGTGTTGTAGAAGACATAAGGTTATAATTGTTTTACATAAAGAACATTCCAATATTCGTAAAGAATGTTTTCTATAGGTGTTCTTTATTCTCTTCACTACATCCTCGATGCTCTTGAAAGCTCTCCAAGCCGCTCGTTTCCTTCTGCTTAGCTCTGGAGCTAGGCCGTCCATCATATTGATTTCCTGACCTAGATAGATATAACTGGACCATTCGGAGATATTCGTTCCGTTGAGCGTGAATGGACCATGTCGAACCAATCCGTTCTTCATAAACATCGTTTTTGTGAGATTTAGTCGAAGACCAATTTTTCCACAGGCTTTATCGAAGTGTTCAAGCATACGTTCTGCTTGGCTAATGTTTGGTGTTATAAGGACGATGTCATCAGCAAAGCGAAGATGATGTAACAGCCGACCACTAATTTCCACTCCCATATTATCCCATTCCAATGCTCGCATGATGTTTTCGAGGGTGGCGGTAAATAATTTTGGCGAGACAGTTTCGCCTGCCTAACCACTCTTTTGACTTCGGCGTTAATATCGTTGTAGAATGGTGATACCTTGATTGTGAAATTTTTGTAGAGCTCACGAAGAATCTTTATGTATGAGCAGGGACTCCTTGACTATCAAGGGATTTCAAGACTGCTTCTATCTCGACTGAATCAAAGCTCTTTTGTAATTCGATGAAAGTGAGACAGAACGGTCTTTTGAACTCTCGCGATACTTCAATGAGCCGTGTTACCGTGTGGATGTGGTCCATCGTACTAACTCCTTTTCGAAACTCTGCTTGTTCACACGGCTGTCCTTCGTTTAGTGTTCTGTCAATCCGGCCATAAGATAGGAAAAGTTGGAACAAAGGATCAACATGAGAATATAAAACGGATTGCTGAGCTCCCACCTACGTAACTAAATAACTATTTTCTACGTGAAGGAAATCACTGGTAAAAAAAATTGGGGTTTGTTTAGTGCGCTAATCTACCCGGTGTTCAATTACACTGTTAAGAACAAAAGATGCATAGCTTCAAGCTGAAAGAGAATTATTTCAGCGCAAGAAAGTCAAAAACTAGTGTTGGCCAGAACATCATGGAAAACATCAGTTTTACACACACTGAAGAGGCAAAACCTGAACTTTCAAAGTGCTGAAATATTTGCAAAACTCCGGAAGAAAAGAAATCGATCCCGTTGAAGGGTGATTGCTGATGGCAGTGATCGATAGAACTAGCTGAGAGACATGCGAAACGAAGAACCACCATGGTGTGGTGAACGCGTTAGCCGCCAGAAAGGACAATAGCGCGTTCGTTCCCCACCACAGACACCTGCGGTCCGGAGTTTTGCAAATATCTCAGCATTATAATATTTATATAAAATGTGCAAATATGGAAAATGCTGAAAATGCTCAACATAAGCTGCAAAACCCTTCCAAATTCCGACAGCAGTGTAATTGCATGTTGAGCCATAGTAAGACATACTTAATAGCAGCATACATACCACTCGTACCAATAGAATGATTGAGCAAAGCCTCTTCTAAAACTATGTTATGTTCAAAATCACTAAAGCACTCTGTGTATTAAGAAAATTGTTGAGTGTTGTCAAAAAGAGGAGCATGTGGCGCAGTGGTCGGAGGCGCCCTGCAGCAAACACGTGGAATCGATTTTTGCGCCCGTTGCTCACCAAGCCTTCCATCCCTCCGGGGTCGGCAAATTGGCACCAGACTTGCCTGGTAGGATAGCAGCACTGGCTCAATACATCAGTAGGCCACCGCAAGTCATTATAAAGGCCAGGTTTGCATTCAATCGCCTCCAAACGATGCTTAATGAAGTCGAGTGCATGGCGCATCCATCATTGATCAACGCCGAGAGCTTTATCCTTTTTTATCGTTTATTGTCAAAAAACTAGGAAGTCTATCAAGGCCGCTTGTGCCTATTAGAACACAAAAATGGAAGGCGTCACGAATATGCTAATTCTGATACTATGTTTTGCTTCTATTTCGCTTTACCTTGAATATTTCGAATTCTGAAAGTGTTTCAAAAGAGGGTCTCAATTTTCTGAAGGCTTTCCAAACATATCTGAGAAATAAACTCACTGAACGCGCCATTGTTTCCGCAATAATATCTTGTAACTATGTAGTTTAGTACCAAGAAAGCAATATTTTGATGTGTAATGGTGTACTGTGGAGGGGTAGCGCAGTGGTTAGCTATGATGTCAATCGTGAAGCAAAGGCACAACTTCGACCCCACGGTCAATGCTTTCCTCCAATTCATATGAGAACGTCTTATCCCGGCTACTTCCAAGATTCCAAAGATTATCGACTCGAACTGCATTCCATGGCATTCACGAAGAGGACGACATACAGAAAGAGCAGCCGAAACATCACGCGAAATGTTCGAAGACCTTTGTAGATAAGGAATCCGAGGAAAGCGAGTCGAATGCAGGAACAAGTGCTGGGATCCGCACAGTAGATGTAGTAACGGGTCATGTTAATGTAAATGGAAAGATCAATTGGGGCATGGTAGATTTTTGAAAGCGACAACCTGAAGGAAGCTCTTCATAGACACGCACGTATAGGAGACTTCTAGCGACCACTTGCGGAAAAATACGTTGAATATTCGAGAATTTTTCAAACGTTTAGAAGATTCGACCTCGGAACGAATTTGAAATTAAAATAACGTCTACTTTTAAAATAACAAGTACATTTTTGATGGAATTGCGCGAATTTTTGTCTACAACTTTGCAGAGTCCCCACCCTTCGAGTACATCAGTTGTCGAAAAAATACCGGAACTTATCAAAAATTCTCCCTCTCGTCCACGAAGCCTGGGGACAGTGTGTATTGACACAACGGATTGCTCTAGACTTCAGAGAAAAATTCTTTCTCGAATGACAAAATATCCGTCAAATTGTCGTGGTAGGCCACACAAGATTTTTCATTAAAACGCGCCATTCAAACAAGTCAGGTATAAGTGATTCATGTGGTTGTAGGGCATCCGGCCTCTAACGTCTAAATACACAGCCATTACGTTGCAGGATTTTTCCTCACTCATTGCTTATAGCCACTACTTGTTCTACGAACACTTGCCTCCACTTTTATTTAAATAAGCACTCAATAGTGCATAATGTTTGCCGATCCTCGCTCGGATAGAAAGCTATCGTTGTTGGAAGCAATCAACGCAAATCAAAGTTTATTAACAGCAACAGAAATAGTCAAATATTGCTCACATCTGACAGTCTCAAATTCAGCGTGATTAACGCCAGGATTTCTGTAGAAGTGGCGGATTCTGCGTACAAAGTTAAGAACCGAAGTCAAATTAGCCGAGTGGAGATGAGAATCTCTGCAACTGGATCTCGGTCCTGCCAATTAAATCATTGAATTGTGAGTTTACAGTGATGTCTTAGAGGATGCTGCTATAAAAATCCACTGCTGCTTAGATGTATTGAATAAATGGTTTTCTTTTTTATTAGAGTAGAATTTAGGTGTGATTTTTTAAAGTAGAATTTATTTAACATATCTCGTGTGTATTTTCCAACCCGCACATCTACCTCACGTAACGAACTCGTGGACAGTTAGTCGAAAGCTTATGTGACGCGTCTAGAGGTTTGAGCAAGCAAGAGCAAGGAAAAATTTTTTCACCCATAGCTGTAGACGGATGAAAATTAAGTGGAGGCCATCCTGCTCCTCGGTCTGACCTAGACCTTAAGTGTAGGACTTATAGCGACTTATGGTGGTCCCGTAACTCGTTGATTAACTTGGTGGAGACGCTAGTGAACTTCACTCGCTCCTATCCCAGTACTAGTAGTACTGTCCAGTTGGCTGTCTTTTCTACTAAGCGACATGAACAGCACCATACTTCCTGTGATATCCTTTCTTCCTTATTACTCTTGGTGATAAGGTAGCAATGCGTAATTTGACAGGCACTGGCCTTGACATGCGCTTACGTTTAATTAGGGTTCTGAGTGGAAGGATTTTAATCACTATTATTTACTATTATATCGATGTTACTTATCCGGGTTGAGATGAACTCTGCATCGAACTTCAACAAACAGTAACATCCATCAGTTCTAGTAAGATCGTAAATGAGAAGTATGATCGTCGAAAAATAAACAGTCGGATGCAGAGAGAATAATGTTCTTCGTTGGAGATAACCCGTTAAGAAACAAGCGATTGGGTTTCATAAGATGTTATGCGCACAAACCGAGGTAATTGATGGTTGAAGGCATTCAACGTCTTAGATTTTTTGTAATCATTTTTTATTTAAAACCTTGCGCATAAAAATAACTGAAGCTTACCGGCTTTGTTGCCGGGGCTTTTGCTTCATCCGTGAAAGAATTCCTCTTCTGAACCTCATTTGCGGTGAGGAGCGAGCTTTCGCTTGCAGTAACTTTTTTCCATCGCCCTCCATCGCCGTATTCATCATCATCAGATTCTGATAGGGCGAATCCAGATCCGTCATGATGAGCAAAATAGTCCTCTGATGATGCTAGACCAGATCCGTCATAGAGAACAAAGTTGGTTACATTTTTTAGCAAGCTGTCCTCATTGTCTCCTCGGTGGAGGGCATCCCATTGATGAGAGTCCAATGGGTATTTTAGTCGATCGTCCATGGTTTCGTCGTGGCTGCTCAAGAGATTTGATGAATCTTCAGTATCCTTACTATTAGCTAATGTGTTTCTTTGGAACCTGAAATAATCTTATCTGTATCAAGCTTTAGATGTTTGTGGAACATTGTTGACCTATCCTTTCTCTACAATGTTTGAGTTTTATATGTCATCCTAGTCATTAAATCACTTAATTACCTTGAAAGCAACTTTGATAATTTTCCGTAAAGACGTAGATATTATCGCAAGATTCCTTAATTTTTTAAAAGCAGACACAGCTAGATTGAGCCTGTGGGATTCGCTATTCTAAAGTAAATCTCCACCTTATACACATCTGGCCTTTTACAATGACTCGCGGTGGCATACCGACGTGTCGAGCCAGTGCTCCTATCTTCCCAGACAACTCTGGTACCAATTTGCCAACACAGAAGGGATGGAGGGCTTGGTGGGCCATGGGAACGGGGATCGATTCCACGTGTGTGTTGCAGGGCGCCTCAGACCACTGCGCCACACGCACCCTTGTGATCAAACTATGTTCGGTAGTAGAAGGACTTTAACTGGGAAAATATTCCTCCAAGAAATTTCACCACTGACAGTTTTCTCAGTTCCACCGAAATGTCAGCTGCAACCCATCAGCGAAACAAAAGTGCTGTTTAAACCCCTACTCAGTTGTTAATACAAGTTTCGTTTCAGAATGATAAGAATTCTACCGTAGTTTTGTAGTAGAAAAGTTAATCATTAAGTTCTACATTAAATTCATTCTCACCGTTCCGTGAGTTGCTTCTCAAGCGATTCGATTTTTGCTCTCAGATAGTCGATAGCTTTCTTTTGTAATAGCAATTCCGCTCTCTCCTCGCCCCTCGTGAACTCCCATATGCTAGTATTTCCATCTACTTTATGTAGTATTGAATTCTGTTTGGGAAGCACCTTCTTAGTTGAGGTTGAATTAAACTGAATGACTGGCTCTTCCATAGTGCCCTCATCTTTCTCTTCATCATTTTCCCTCTTCACCGTCATCGTGACTGCCTCTCTTTTCCCCATTTCTGAGATTTTTATCAACAAGCCAGCACTATTGGTTTGAATAATGAGTGGATCATTCTCTACATGGCTACTTGTTCGCTCACCCGTTAATGTCTGCTCGGATTGCTGCCTTGAGATTTTATCAGCCAACGTGGTCTTCGATTCTCGATTCACTCCTTTTTCCATTATTTCTGGCATTCCATTTGTCTTAACAGTGGAAGACCTTGCCGTTGAAGAATTTCTATCTTTCAATTGTCCTTCATCTTTTTTGCCAACCGAAAGAAATTCTTGCAAGTCTATCAAAGGATGCTCAGGTTCTTTATCTCTTAGTGCTTTTATCCGGCTGGTTAATGTAGGAAGTTTGAGATTAGTTTTAGGCATCTTAATTCCATTCAAGGTGTTATTCTTGGGTTCCAGCCTAACGCTCGGTTGAATTCGAACCGCTTTCATAACTGCTCTCTCTGGCTGTTCTAGCTTTTTTGCCATGACAGTTTGCCACACAATAGTTCCCAGATTTGGTGTAGCAGTCACGGTGATGGACTCTACTATAGCGCTTGTAGCAATTGGTATTGTGGCCGTCGGCTTTGTCGTGATAGTAGTTGTCTCTCTGATTGTTGACATTGGCAGTGCTGTCGCTGTAGGCGCTTCTGTTGCAGTTTCTTCCACAATGAAGGTCGACGAATTTAGGGGAAGAGCAACTGTCGTCGTCATTGAGGACACCATGGTCATTGCTTCAGCCCTTCCAATTGTCGGTTCAATCTTAACACTAATAACGGTGTCCCCAGCTGTTGTCGAGAAATCCGCTGCATTTCTGCGAGAGTTTCCTGCTCCTGAATTGAATTTCGAGTTGTTATTGGTAATAGAAGAAGCACGTCTTTTGGGAGGATGAATTTCAGCTCTTGAAGGCAGTCGAAAGCGCGACGACAACTGGGAACGGGAGATCGCGCGAGCGAGCCCTCGTGATTGACTTGATCGGCGAGTAAATGGAAAGCGGCTCTGGAATATAATAATTTCTGTTCAAACAAGTGATTTATGAATATTTGGTGATTTAGAAGCGTGGTACTCAACTAATGCTAGTTTCTCTGTAAAATGGCATAAGTGGCGATTCACTGAACTGACAGGAGTAAAAAATAATTAATAATAGAAACAAGGAAGTTTTCAAATTTTCTTTAGGTGTTGAATCGCGTGAACGCAGTTGTGTGGACGAAGCGTAATGGTTATTCCAGCATATTTGTCAATCGCCAATGAATTTATTCCGCTCTGAAATGTTCAACCTCAACCATCTGCGCAAAATTTCTGCTTGCTCGTGCTTTCTCTGCTTTGAAAAACTACTGACGATGTTTGTTCTTCGCTTACTTGCTTGGATACTTGGATGGCCCATCCTTACTGATTGCGGGAGCGTAATCTCTATTCTTTTAGAGTTTTGCTGGTTTAGCCACTGTGGTTCCCTGGAGTCCCGAGGTCAACCAGGCCAAAGTTTGCCACACGTCATCACCACCACAAGCAGTCGCCGCCCTTGTGGATCAGAGGATTTGCCACCGTGTGACTAGTTTGGTACGAGGACGGTGAAGTATCTTGGTATTGGCCTACTCTTAGCTGGGCTTCCTAATGGAAGCGCCGGACTCCTTAGCGTGGGAGACCCTGCTAGGGAGAAGATTCCCACCTCTGTACATCGCAGGCCGGCGCCCAGGAACACCTCCCAGCCATGACGAGGCGGTAAACCGTTGGAAGGTTATTCTAGACCGCTAAACATAATGACTACTCTAATCTATCGCAAGATGCACAACCAACTTTCCAAGCTGCCCAAGCTACAGTACGACAATTCAGTATTTTTAACCAAAGAATGGAAGTAGTTTAACAAAATAACATTGTCTCTTGAAAGCTGTTCACCGTCACACTGTAGTGAATAACGAAATCGCTCGTTTGATATTAAGAAGGTATCTGCAAAGTGTAAAAGGTAACGAATAGATCGCTCAGCGTTGATCATTCTACGGTGGATGTGCTGCGTATTTCAATCCATTTGTAGTATTGTATAGGAGATCGAATGCATATTGGAATTGTACGATGAATTTTAATGGCTTAGCGATGCATTAAGTCGTATTCTTCTCTCAAACAAGTGTTGTACTAAATGCCTTCCTCAGATAGCTAGAGAGGTTCGTTTGCGGTGAGGAGTGGTTGAACCAACAATCACATGTGTACTGTGGGGCACCTGTGTAGCCAGTGTGCTAGACGCACCCATACGGGAGACGCCTTGATGAAAACTCTTGTAAAGCATTCGCCTTTGCAGTATTATTATTATCCTTTGCAGAAATATCAGTAAATCAAAAAGAGTTATCCATAAAGACCAACTAAAAATGGAAAACGACCGGATTGGAAATAACTGTGATGAAGTCCCTATTTCTCGGAGGTCCTCAGTTCGATGGATAACTAATCGATATAGGTATTGCATGCATATGCAGTGCTGGCGTTTGTGGCGCAGTGGTTAGTGGCGCTCTGCAATACACTTGGGATCGATTATCGCGCCTTTGGCCCACCAAGCCCTTCATGCCTCCAGTGTCGACAAATTGGCACCAGACTTGTCTGGGAGGATAGCAGCACTGGCTCGATCGGTAAGCCACTGTGAGTCATTATAAAGGCGCATTCAGTCACCTCCAACGATACTTAATGAAGTCGAATGCATGGCGCATTCGTCAGGAATTGATCAACGCTGAGAGCTTTATTCTTTTATCCAGTGCTTCCAACGAAAAACTTTAATGAAGTAGAGAATAGTAGAGCAGAGCTGGCCTCTTTATGAATTATTAATAAGGCAAACAGACAATTGTGCATGCACGATTGTTCAACTCAGTAAATCTTGTAGAGCTTTACTCTTCAGCTACAACGGGACAGTTTGACAGTCACAGAAAAACTGCGCATCAACAACAAATTTTGAGCATCATCAACACACGTGACATGAGGCCGTTCGTCGTAAATGTAACCTTCTACAAGCGTCCGGCCTACGATATCCTGAAAGTCATACGGCGAAAGCGAAGCATGAATGGAGCAATGATGTGATGAACAGAGCCAATGACAGATGAACAAGATGGCGACGACCTACAAGACGAGCTGTCTTGTCTGCAGCTTAAGCCAAGTTACCAATCTACGATTTGGATACGAGATTCAGAGCAATGAACGGTATTCGCAGACGTCGCCATAAACGAATTCGACGATGAACGAGCTAGAACAGTGGTGTTGGTGATCAGAGCAAATGGGAACGTCACTGGGATCGGCACGAATCGTAAAGAAATCTCATAAAAGCATTAAGATGAGAATTAGTGTTATAAGATAAGGCTCGAATAAAACTCCTTATTACTGTTAGTATTTTACTACCTGGAAAGTGAAGGTGTTGTTTTTGCTCAACATTCGGATTGCCGGTAATGATGATAACGTCCGTTTAGGAAGGACAGGAATTATCTCAGCGAGTGTAGTGAACACTGGTGGTGCGATGGTGTTGACCGTAACTCCAGTGCTCAACGGCTCTATAGTAGTTGAAAATCTTTCAAGTATTTTTGAAATTTGTGGTAAAAGAGCTCACATACGAGTAAGTCGATTTTCAGTCTCTGCGAACAAAATCACGTATTCTCTCATGCAGAGATCGGGAACTGAAAAAATTTTCGGATGTAGAAGGAAATCCAAAAAAATGGAGTAGAAAAAAACAAAACGCAGTTCTTAGAAAATTTCGGGAGATTTAATATGTTAAAGCTCAAAAGGAAAAAAGGCGAATTATTGCTATACCTCTCTGTAGTCGTATGACAATAGTTGATACTTGGATACTTGGACAGCCCGTCCTCACCGATTGTGTGGGCTTGAATATAATCTCCAATTTTCGGAGTTTTGCTGGTTTAGCCATTTTGTTTCCTTGGAGTATCGAGGACAGCCTGGAGAAAGCCTGCTCCAGGTCGTTACCCCTACAGGCACTCGCGACCATTGTGGATCAGAGGGAGATTTGCCACCATGCGATTAGTTTGATACCAGGACCGTGGTAGACGTAGTATCGGTTAACTCTTAGCTGGACTTTCTCAGGGAAGCGCCAGATTCCTTATCAGCTTGAGAGACCCTGCTAGGGAAATAAATTCTCCCGCTGTACGTCGTAGCCCAACACCCAGGAACACGTCCTTGCCACGATAATCCGTTGGGAAGTACATGATATATACAGTATATTAAAGCCCTAAAACCACCAGCATTGATCAGCTTTGAGGGATGTGCCATGCATTCCACTTCACTAAGCATCGTTTGGAGGTGATTGAATGCATACGTGGACTTTGCAGTAACTCGCGGTGGCCTACCGATGTATCGAGCCAGTGCTGCTATCCTCCCAGACAAGTCTGGTACATTATATATATAGTACATAATATATAATTTATGCACATATATACATATATATATATAATGTCTTCACGTTGCTACCTTCCTGTAGAGTCCAATTTCCAAAGATGCAGCAAACCTCCCTCAGGTTCACTTTGGTTGGCGATTTTCTACAGTGAAGGCCTGAGAACGCCCTATCGTCTCGGCTATCGCTGGATCCCAGAAGAACTCACACTCAACTCTCATTCAACATGTTAAAGAAAAAAGAATATAACCAAAAAAACGAAAAAATTCATAGAACCCACACGAGATGTCGTGGGAGAGGTGAGAGGGTTTACCTATCTATCTACTAGGTAAGCAGTAAATTAGCAATTTTCGGTAGTTTCTTGTAAGTTGCTAAACTTAGACGTGAGATATCTTGAGGATGTAACTAATTAGGGAATTGAAAGATATCGCATACTTTCATGACAACTTGGAGATTCTGTGCCACGCCGAGCACAGGCCGATTGACTGATGAGCGGATCGCCGCAGTCGCACTTGTACTCCTTGGACTCATCCGCGAACAGGAAGTGTGGGCCTTCTCTGTTGGTGGACAAGTCGCCTAGATGACAATCTGCATTACATTTCAGATAATTCCCGTGGAAGGCTTGGAGGCTAATTTGAGATTTCGTCGGATCTCACTAGAAACGACTTTTATTTCCGCAGATTAGTTACTACTGGGCCGCTGATGGCGCTTAAACGATTGCTTCTTTAGCAAAACAAAAGTGATCACAGCCTTAATAATGTAGGCGGAAAAAGATGATTGAGCAAATACATTTTGATAACCTTGGTTTATTTCTTCTAAGAACTCACAGATATAACTATTTTGTTCAAGCCACATGTAGATATCGGGTTTTTGTACCGATAAGCTCGTAACCCAGAGTGCTGAGGATAACAACAGTTGCCGCATCCGGAAAGAGTCCTTTCTCCAAGAAGTGCTGAAATGCCTTCACCATAATTTTTCATGGGAATAGGAAAAATAGACTGTCAAATCGATGCGAATTTACTGTCGATAAGTGCTAAAACAAGTTTTACTACTGGAAAATCCTTTTCTAGCAAATGCCAGCCTTGGTGCTCAATTCTTGCAGGTTTAGCAGTATGAGGCATTTCATACTCCTCATATTTCGAGAGTTCAGGACCACTAACTCAACGGTTTTTAACGGACAACGTCTTATGCTCGTTTTTCAGTGACAGACGGCGATTTGTCGATCAGCTATAACTACGTCGATTCTTGGAACAGCTATTGCTTATCGCACTATGCATGATTTTTTTTATAGTGCTCCTTCAAAATCGGATCCTTGGAGCAAAATTTTCAAAGAGAAAAGCGGAAACACGGTTGAAATTTCTACAATTTCCAAAGCACATTCGGTTGTTGAAAACACGAACGATTCATTCGGGAGCACCACTTTGTTTTGCTGGGTGAAAGTGGACTCGTTCACTTGCATTCTTGTTCGAAATACATTGAACCCTCCACACAGGAGAGGGGAAGAAGCATTTGGCGTGGGCTTTCAGAACATCACCGCCGTAGAATAGCGCAACTTGTGTCATAAAGACAAAAATTTGTGGATTACAATGGTTTTCGTTCCAACTAATATGACTCCATACTTTTACACATTTGTTTAGAGTCGAAAATGGTCACTATTCCAGCATCTTTTGCATTTCGTACAATTCACATCATCATACGTTAATCAAGTCTCAATGATGCATTTCCTTCGTTTTTATGGTGCAGTTCACTTCCTCCATGGGCTTAATTTACCTCCTTAACATGTTTTTGAAACGACAACAGACTGAATGTGCTAGAAGAAGGTAAAGAAAATAGATCTTCAAAGAAGCTGAGCAAAATGCAACAGATTAGAATCTGACAAGCCATCCTCACACTAGTGCGCAGATGTTAGAGGTTCCCTGCAATATGCAGACGCTTTCGGGTTCAATCCTGTGCCTTAGGCTAGTCAGGCCCTGCATTCATCCAGCTGCGGCCTTCTGATTCCTGGACAAAAATGTATCTTTATAACCACAATGATGCTGAGATATTTGCGAAACTCCGGACCGCAGATGTTTGCGATGGAGAACCAAAGTGCTAATTACCCTTTCCGAGTGCTAACGCGTTCACCACAATACCATGCGGACCCTTCGTTTCGCCTGTCCCTCAGCTGGTTTTATCAATCAGACCATCAGCAATCACACGTTAACAGGATTGATCTGAGGGAGCCCAAATCGGCAACGAACGCAGTTAAGCTGAGGCTGTAGTCGAAATCACAATGTTAATCTTTTATTTGCTGCCTATTACAATTTTCTCATGGCAAGTTTTTCCTAGTCACAATGATGCTGATATATTTGCTTAACTGGATTCGTTGCCAATTTGGACTCTCCAAACCAATCCCATTGACGGATGGCCTGATCGATAGAACTAGCTGAGAGACAGGCGAAACGAAGAACCCGCATGGTGTAGTGGTGAACGCGTTAGCTCCCACAAGGGGTAACAGCGCGTTCGTTCTACACCGCAAACACCTGCAGTCCAGAGTTTTTCTAATATCTCATCATTATTGTGGTTAAGTCACACTTGATAAAGTGCCGTGAAAGAATTGTAATGGATAGTAAATAAGAAGTTAACACTGTATCTTTAGAGTTTCTCAATTCAATAGGCATCCTGATAATGTCGCATAACTTTCTAATAGGACACATACAAACTCGCACTGCTTGTGAAGACATCAATGATCTGCAGTACGTAATAAAAGCTGTCACTATTACTTTCCAATTTAAATTTTAGGCCTTCATACGCAATTACAATTTAAGAAACTTTTTATATGCAACTGATTTTGGAAAGTTTTTTTATCGCCGAGGATATTTGGACTATATACCACAATACATGCGAGACGGACTCGTACTCACATGCTTCCCGGTTTGACTGCTCCTCACCTCCACTTCGTTCATTCCAAAATTGGTTTTAGAAGCTATAGCACTAACGCGTTCATCAGTTGTTGTGCGGATTTCATCGCACAGTTCGAAGCCACATCAACAGCTACGGTATATTTAGGAATTGATCGAGTCTATTTCTGAATAATATTGTTTTTATGCCAAAACAACCACAACAATGCTGTAATATTGGCAAAACTTGGACCCCAGGCCAAATGGAGCCACGATTTTCCCCGGAAAGGAAAATTAATACCCTGCTGCGAAAATTGTAGTGGTTAGTAAATAAAAAGGCAAATATTGTGATTTCGACTTCACCCTCAGCTTAAATGGATTTAATACCTATATTGGCTCCCAGTTCAGCCCCGTTGACGGGTGATTGTTGATGGAACTGGTAGATAGAAAACTAGCTGAGAGGACCCCAGAACAAGGGCGTACGTGGAGCAGTATGTTATGTGCGAGCCTCCGGAGAAGGAAGTCGTGGTTCGATCTGGCCCAGCGTCCAAATTTTGCGAATATCTCAGCATAGTTGTGGTTGATTCCGCATAATACCAAGCACTGAAAATTCTATTAAGCAGTAAATAAAAAGATAAACATTGGAATAACGTTTTTGTTTTACGTAATATTTTTTGGAATGACTCGTTGTTCACATCTACTCTAATAATTCTAGTGCTTCTTGAATTCGATTCTTTTCATTTCATTCATCGTCTACGAAGATCTTCGGGTATTCCTGCCGCATGCTGTTTAGATGCTGCTTGAGGATTACCCTTTAATCGTGAATATCGTTGAATTCTGGTCGAGTCGACTCTTTTTGAAATCCTGAGACAGCCGGGCTAGAGCTCTCCCACTTTGAATTGCAGAGAGTAAGCTCTTTCCGTGGAAATATCCGGTAGCAATTTCCCGATCCGGAGTGGTGAGAGACCTAGCGAGCATGGTGCAGGATCGAACCAACACCGTACCAAAGGTCGGTATCGCTAGCACTGCGCTACATCCCCCTTTATACGTAATGTACTCTGAGGAACTGAATTAACTGAAATGGTGGTGAGATATTTGCAAGACTCCGGACCGCAGGCATCTACGGTGGGGAGCGAACGCACTATTACACTTTCCGGGATTAAAATGTGCACCACCACATCATGCGTGTTCTTCGTTTCGCCCTTTTCTCCACTAGTTTTCTATGTCTTTCTCTCAGCATCAGCTTAACTGGGTTCCGATTTGGGCTCCCCAAACCAATCCCGTTGACGGGTGATTTCTAATGGCACTGATAGATAAAAAATTAATTGAGAGAAAGACGAAACGAAAGACCCGAATAGTGTGGTGGTGAACGCGTTAGCCTCTGAAAGACGTTATGGCGGGCTCGTTCCCCACTGCACACACCTGCGGTCCGGAGTTTTGCGAATATCTCAGCACCATTGTGGTTGTATCATACATATCACGCTGCCATGAAAAATTATAATAGGTAGCAAATAAGAAAGTTAGTATCGTAACTAAATTAAGTTGAAAAATTGCGATGAAACACATAAATGCATGAATGTCACTGAGTACTTACATATTTCTACACGTCATACGACTTGTAGAAATATGTCAATAAATTGGAAACAAACTCGCAAATGGTGGCTTGCCCCTACTGAGGTTGGAGAAGAGAATAATGACCAGTTTGACGGTGCCGTTCAAATTAAATGAGACTACCAGCTGAAAGCGAGATGTATAATGATTATGTGAGCGGCTCTATTCTGAACAGTAACGACAAGAAGTGACTGCACGGTTCATTTCACCAGAACGGAACTTTTTGGCCACTAGGCGAATCGTGTCTACGAAGGACAAAAAGCCACGAACACAGAAAATAAGTGGCAAGCAGGACGGCATCGGCGCACGACCTGTCTCACAGGGCAGGAATTCGCAGGCAAGGCTGTCATTAGCTCAGAACTTGTTTTGAAATATTCTATCGAGAATTATACGCTCTACGAAACGATTTTCAGTTATTATTTTGGGTACTCAAAAGAATATTATTGCTAGTGTTATCAACCTTCCCAACGGTTTACTGCCTCATCGTGGCTGGGAGGTGTTCCTGGATGTCGCACTGCGACGTACAGCTGGGGATCATCTACTTGCAGGGTCTCCCAAGCTGGGAAGGGGTCCGACGTTTCTATTAGGAAGAATAGCTAGGAGTAAACCAATACCAGAATCCACCACCGGCCTGGTATCAAAGCCGCATAGTAGCAAATCTCCCTCTGATCCGCAAACAACTGCCTGTGGTGGTGAAGACCTGTGACGGACTTTGGCCAGGCTAACCTCGGGATTCAAGGGAACTACAATTGCTTAACCAGCAAATCTCCGAAAAGTGGAGATTATGCTACGGCCTGCACAACCAGTGAGGACGGTCCGTTCAAGTACCAAGTAAGTAAATGTTATCAACACCTTCCTCAGTAATTTTCTTCCATTATTCCACCATTCTGATATACTAGTTATAGATGATTAATATTTTTCTACAAAACGAATAATTCTTCTCCAAACTTAATCCTGGTATATTTTATCGATTCCTGCATTTATTGATAAGTCTGAGTTGTACCTCAAAAAACCATTTTCCTTTAACCTTGGCATAACTAGTCAGTATGCACTATATCACTGATGAGCTAACACGGAGCCGATAAAATAAACTTTATCGCGTGTTCGACTTTCTTCAGTGCAGACGATCCGAGTCGATGTCCACAGTTCTTCGTAATCACGATGTGGTATCCCCGTCGTTATATCGAGTCGGACTTTCTTCAGTGGAACAGCGATCAAATGAGGCAACCTCACCCAACAATGCTCCTTTATACAAAACGGTAGTTGTAGATATGATTCGACAGTGATTATAACTTGTTTTCTCCAGACAATCCATCTTGCAGAATCCGGCAGATTATTATCAGCTAGCACAAAACGTAATTAGCATAAGTAGTGTTGGTGAGAATTAGTACTATGGCAGACATCTTGTCGATTTCGTCATTCCCAGGACTCCTT